CAGATACGGGGTTTCACCATGTTGGCCAGGATGGTCTTGATCTCTTGACCTCATGATCCGTCCGCCTCGGCCTCCCAAAGTGCTGGGATTACAGGCGTGAGCCACCGCACGTGGCCTTCCACTTTTTAGCTATTATGAATAGTGCTACTATGAACATGGGTATACAAATATCTGCTTGAGTCTCTGCTTTCAGTTCTTTGGGGTATATACATAGAGAATTGCTGGATCATGTGGTCATTCTATGTTTTATTTTTTGAGGAACTGCCATAGTGCATTTCTTTGAAGGGGAAGATGAAGTCTCAATATTTTGCCCAGGCTGGGCTTTGAACTCTTGATCCTCCCACCTCAGCCACATAAGTAGCTAGGACCACAACGACATGCCACCATACTCACATATTTTACATTTTCTTTTTTAAAAAATTATTTTTTTAATTGAGATGGAGCTTCCCTATGTTGCCCAGGCTGGTCTTGAACTCCTGAGCTCAAGGGATCTGCCTGCCTCAGCCTCCCAAAGTGCTGGGATTACAGGTGTGAGCCACCTTGCCTGGTGCATATTTTATATTTTCAATTTGTTGCAGTCATTACTGTTTTCAGTGCTCATGTTGTGTCATTAGTGAGAGCCCCTTCATGTTGGCTCCTATATCCTTCTGATATGACTGTAATAGTCTGATATCTTCCTTGCTTTCTGGAATGACAAAATATTTGAGGCAGAACTTGTATATTTCCTGCATCAAGCTTGAAACCAAAATTTCTCTAAAACATTCTAGTTCCTTTAAGTGGGAAATGGCATAGAGACACCACTATCTGGGGGCTAGGGAGTATTCATTACTACATTCGTCCTAGGCCTTTTTAGTGGACAAAGTTAGAAAATCTGGGTTTTTTTTTCCATTTTGTAATTTAGAATCAAAGGATCATAGGGCTTCTATTGAACTTATTTGGTTGTGTACCTGTATCTCTTTTATCCTACATTTGGCTCATGTAACCAACAATCACTGTACACCCACCATCTTCCTTATACTTTGTTAGGTGCTGGGAATGCACATCAAAATCTACATTTCATCTAGTTTCCATATTGTTTTTATGTGAATTAGTGAGGCTTTTTACTTTTTGTGTTGGCTTGTAGTTAAAACTGACGAGCACAATATTGGATTGGCTTGGCTTTGAGATTAGTTTATCTTGATGTCTTCCTTTTTTTTTTTTTTTTTTTGAGACAGAGTGTCGCTCTGTTGCCCAAGCTGGAGTGCTGTGGCAAAATCTCAGCTCATTGCGACCTCCGCCTCTCAGGCTCAAGCAATTCTCCCTGCTTCAACCTCTTGAGTAGCTGGAATTACAGGTGTCTGCCACCACACCTAGCTAATTTTGTATTTTTTAGAGATGGGATTTCGCTGTGTTGGCCAGGCTGGTCTCAAACTCCTGACCTCAAGTGATCTGCCCACCTCGACCTACGAAAGTGCTGGGATTACAGGCATGAGCCACCGTGCCTGGCCCATCTTGATGTATTTATTTTTCTTTTCTTTTCTTTTCTTTTCTTTTCTTTTCTTTTTGAGATGGAGTCTCAGTGTGTTGCCAGGCTGGAGTGCAGTGACACAATCTTGGCTCACTGCAACATCCGCCACCTCCCAGGTTCAAGCAATTCTGTCTCAGCCTCCTGAGTAGCTGGGACCACAGGTGCCTGCCACCACACCCCACTAATTTTTTGTATTTTAGTAGAGATGGAGTTTCACCATGTTGGCCAGGATGGTCTCGATCTGCTGACCTCGTCAGCCGCCTGCCTCGGTTTCCCAAAGTGCTGGGATTTCAGGCGTGATCCACGGCGCCTGGCCCCAATGTATTTCTTATATTACATTATTTCCATTAACTTACATGAATCATAGATTTCAGTAATTACAATACTATTATACCCCATAGTTGCCAGTGTCAAGGGAAAAACAGATTAAATGGGTCATTAATACCAAAAAAGACATTTCATTGCCATTGGGTATTATCCTGATATGTTTGGCGGTGTCCTCACTTAAATCTCATCTTGAATTGTAGTTCCCATAATCCCCACGTGTGGTGGGAGGGACCCAGTGGGAGGCAATTGAATCATGGGGGCAGTTTCCACCAAGCTATCTTTGTGATAGTAAATTCTCATATATCTGATGGTTTTATAAGGTACTTTCTACTTGGCTCAGCGCTCATTCTTTTCTCTTCTGCCACCATGTGAAGGACGTTTGCTTCCCTTTCTGCTATGATTGTAAGGTTCCTGAGGACTCCCCAGCCATGTGGGACTGTGAGTCAATTAAACTTTCCATTATGAATTACCCAGTCTCGGTTGCTTCTTCATAGCACCGAACTAATATGTATCCCAGAACCAGAAAATGTGAGAGTAGGAAGACGATTTACTGTGCTTGGGAATAGACTTTTGGTCAGTTGGACTGGGGCACAGCTCTATTGTTGGACAAATCCTAAGTCTAAAACATTTTCTGTGTTTATGCTGATGCATACAATTGCACTATTAGGGTTTCCTCTGAAGCTATTGGCCCATATTAACCCGGAGAGTTAACATTCAAGTATGTAATTAACACATTAGATTGAATAATGTACTAGGCTTTTCCAAAATGACATTTAGCTTGAAATAGATTTGGGAAGAAGGTAAATAACTAAGTCTAGCATACGGCCACTTGCATAGAGAGCAGATTTGTTTTGGGAATCCTGGGCAGAGGAAGCATAATGGCACTAGACACATGCCAAGGAGCTGAGGGCACATGAAAAGGTGATGCATTTGCAATATTCACCATTTTATGTTAAGTTACATGAGATTCGGCAGTCAACCAAATTCTGGCTGTGCATTACCAACTTTCAACTCTTAAAAAGTACTGGCAAGTTAAGTAACTTTATTATAATAATGAGGTAAAAACTTAAGAATAGTATGAGCCAGACAAGGTGGCTCACGCCTATAGTCCCAGCACTTTGGGAGGCTGAGGCCAGCAGATCATGGGAAGTCAAGAGTTTGAGACCAGCCCAGCCAACATGGTGAAACCTCGTCTCTACTAAAAATACACAAATTAGTCAGGTGTGGTGGTGGGTACCTGTAATCCCAACTACTCCAGAGAAACTCTTGAACCCAGGAGGCCGAGGTTGCAGTGAGCCAAGATGGCGCCACTGCACTCCAGCCTGGGCAACGAAGCGAGACACCATCTCACAAAAAAAAAAAAAAAAAAAAAAAGTATGTGATGCTCTGTAATGGTAATCTTTATATATGCATTTTATGTTTTATAAATAAAAGTTTTAAATTACTAAGATACTTTAAAATATAAACATCACTTCATAGGCTATGTATAAACCACAGGCAATACTTATTCTTTATTCTCAATGCACTGAATACATAACAAATTTCAGACACCCCGATAGAAAACACAGGACTGAATTCATTTAAGACAGGGAATACTTTATTCGAAACCCATCAAAGAAATGGACAGCTTGGGTCTGTAACAAAGCATTCATGTTTTAGAGCATAGGTCAGTAATTGTGTATGAGAGCATACACTGCTACATACAAATTAACTGATCAGACCACAACTTTTCAATGTTTAAAACAGAATAAGCTTCCCTGTAAAAGCAGCACCTTTGTGACATTTTAACTTTAGTATTCCTCTCCTTCTTCTTCACC